ACCTTTACTTAAGAATTTGCTTTTTCCTTCAATTGTTTGCTTTGGTATCTTTTGCACTTCCTCCCTTCTATTTCTTTTTTGGCATAAATAATAATTGGTGCTGCAGTAGGAGCTTGATAAAGCTTTTTATTATGTTCCCTTTTGTCCAAAAGCAATCACAAGACAAAAAAAAAAAAAAAAGGCCAAATGGTTTGTCCTCAGTTACACTACCAAGTAGAAGCAAAGCTTTCCAGAAGACTTTGTGTTCTTACTTTGCCACAGTTTTTGATGAAAGGTCTAGGTATCCTATTTCCTGTTGATTTTTCCCCTAGAAATCCTTATTCTAAGTATGCATTTTGCATTGTTTTCCAGTGTCTTCATCTGAATTCTTCTTTAGCTTCTTCACAATTTGTTTTCTTGTTGCAGTTCCCTTCTGATTCTGTCCTCATTTCTAACCATTTTGGGTGAAGGATGAAATAGGGCAAATTCACATTTTCCTAGTTAAATAAAATGACAATTTCTCCTGCAGATCATTAGTCAGTTTGTAAAACATGTAGCATTGCTGTATTTATAAAATACATCCCTTTTCTAGATTGTCCCATAAATTGTGCTTGAAATCTTGATAATCCCATTTGAGGGAGGAAAACCTAAGTGATTCTCCTTTCACTATGCCTCAAAATAAATGACACATAGATTAAAAGATTAACTTTTGGCCAGTGCCGCAGCTCTCTAGGCTAATCCTCCACCTGCGGCGCTAGCACCCTGGGTTCTAGTCCTGGTTGGGGCACCGCATTCTGTCCCAGTTGCTCCTCTTCCAGTCCAGCTCTCTGCTGTGGCCCCGGAAGGCAGTGGAGGATGGCCCAAGTGCTTGGGCCCTGCATCCTCATGAAAGACCAGGAGCAAGCACCTGGCTCCTGGCTTCAGATCGGCGCAGCACGCTGGCCGTAGCAGCCATTTGGGGAGTGAACCAACAGAAGGAAGACCTTTCTCTCTGTCTCTCTCTCTCTCACTAACTCTTCCTGTCAAAAAAAAAAAAAAAAAAATCAAAACTTCCTATATATTAAAGCAATGCATGAAACTTCAAAAGAAAGATTTGTATACTTGATTGACTATAAATAGAACTTTAAAAAAATTCTTAGTGTTCTTAGGCAACAACAAACTATTTGCAACAAATATGTCTAAGAAATAACTAGCATTATATACAGATATCAGTGTAGGTAATAATGTATTAATGCTACAACATTAAAATTAGCGAAGAGCATGAACAGACAACTATTAAAGGTGAGGAATTATAAATAAATAATAGTCATCCAAAAATGTATTTAACCTTGTTTTTAACCAAAGAAATAAAAAAATAAGCCACTGCCATTACTCCCTAAAGAAATAGCAAAATTTAAGTCAATTTAAATGTTAGTGAAGGGTATGTAATAGTGATTTAATTTCTTCTTTAAAACTTCCAAATTTTATAAATTTTCCACAATGAACACATTACCTTGATAATGAAAAATACTGTACTGTAAAATGTAATATGAAAATGTATTTTATTTCTTCTTTCCAAATACAAGATATAACTAAGAAGTATCCAATTAATATTTTTAAGTTGATGCTATGGATTAGACTTGAAATTTTACCATATTTCAATTAATCCAAATAGTATTTGTTCTTTGAAAATAAAAATTAATGGAAGCAGAGATTCCTTTAAGTTCATGACATCCTACCATAATACTTCATGGTCAGGACAGTACTTACCATGATAAGGGCTATGTTGAAAATGTTCCCTGTAAGGTGAACAGCCTGTGTGAGGTTAACTCCATAATTGAACTCTGAGATATTGCCTGAGTGCTGAGTTGTTCTGGATTTGTTTAGGAAGTGGATTTGCCATGATAAAGGGAGGTTTAAGATCCACAGTTTATCTATACAGATATGCTTTTCCTTACTGACAAATATATTGATTCTATTGATTTCAAACCATTAAAATAAACCTCAATTTTCAATTTTTCTTGTGATGAAATCCTAAAATAGCTCCCTTAGGTAATCAAATGGTGAGACTTGGGCAGAACTTGGTTTATTATTACCCAAATGTAACAATAGGATATCATCACCTTTTGTAAGCAGTTGACTTTCATTTTGTGGTTAAGGCTTGGAATAACACTCTGAGGGAGGTCTGTTTCATTACTTACTTTACAAACAAGGAGACATGTAAGCTCAGTGAGGTTAAACAGCCTGACCACCAGTCCGCCATAACAATATGGAGAGGCAGGATTATTCCAGGCAAGTGTGACTGCCCCTGATAACTCTGCGACTTCCACAAGCATGCCGGTCAGCTTGACCTTATTTCTGATCTTTGACTCCAGCTCCGTGTTGGGTACATGGACTCTAACGTCTTTTGCCCACCATACTCCTGCTAGCAGGTGACACAGCAGAAAGAGCTTCGGTTTTGCACCCTTCTTTGGATGGAACCTTTTACACCACTGTTGTATTTCTTAGTTATGTCTTTACCTGTAACATGGGGGAAGGTCACATCTCAGAACGCTGCTACGCATGTTGAGCTTCCATATGTGAAAGTGCTTAGAACAGTACTTGGCACATAATAGATATTTAACAAATATTAGTTTCCTTTCTTCCTTCCTTTGCCAAGGAAAAGTCATTCTTCCTTGCTAAGTCAGTTTACATGAAAGTGCTTCCATGGCTCTCAGCTTACCACAGAATCCTGAGGAAATTTACCACTAATCAAATGGGCCTTAGACATGGGATCTTGGAGGGTTTCAGTCTCTCAGGTTTGGGCAGCATATGCTGGGGGAAGCCAAAACAGAAGTTGATATGCCCTGATGTTATGCTCCTCTCTCTTCTGGATTTGGACAGGCTTTTCTGTAGTCTTCCAGTTGCTCTCCTACATACCTTGCCTTCCGATTCCAAAATGCATTTTTACACAGCTGAACTCTGGCTTGAAATGCTTCTGAGCCATTTCTCAAAGTGATCTTACTATTTTTTTGCTGCCACACTTCTTCTCCTGCTGGGCTCTGTCTGTGAAATGACCCTGCACCAACAATGTACCTCTTGAACTTTTCAATGCCCACCTCAATGATTTCTCCCTCATACATCTGCTCTGACCACCCTGGATAGAAGCAATCTCATTCTCTGCTAAACCTGTTAAGGCTGAGTTGACTGACACGAATAGTGGTTAAAATGTCATCCAACCAGCAATCATTTAATTAGCTGCTTCCAATTCCTTACTAAAATATCAATGAAGCTAGCAAAAGGCAAATTCTCACAAATGCAATGAAAACCACAGAATCGGGAATGAATTTCTACCTGGATGGAGAAACTTTAAAAGCTGTTTTCCCACCAAAAGTAGATGTAAAGTCTTGGTCTGAAAGTAGAGACATTCTTTGCTTCTCAAACACAAGAGCCCTGTAACCAACAACAACTCTCCCAGGACCTGAAAATAAATGGAGAGGAGTACACTTGTCTATCAGGAAGCTGATTCTATCAGGTAGGCCAGAATTGTATCCCCCAATCCTCGACCCAGTGATCCCGAGTGATAAATAATAACAGGCTGAGAAAAGGTGTTTTTAGGAACATGTCAAAAGAAAACAGGTTTATAAGTATTAATTTTTTAAAGTCGATGTGAGATCAAATATAAGATTAATGGGAAAGAAAGAAATGTTGACAAAATTTATGGTGAAGATATATAATTGTGAATGTCTTCAAATAATACAATGGCTAAATAAGCAAGTTAAAAACTATTAGAAATGAAGAAAAAAACAGCATACATGACTATTGTGAAGGACTCACATAATTATTTCAGGCTTTGACAATCTACTATGAAAAAAAGTAAGGAAAGAATAAGTGGGACTAATATCATTAAGAATAATATACTAGCATAATAAATGAGATGATATATGTGTATATGTGCATCCACATATTCCTGCAGGCATATATAACCAAATTAGTTGCCAGAAATGTTTAGAAAAAATGATTATATATTATCTCAAAGAAAGAATCAAGAAATTTCAACTGTCAGAAGTTCAGCCATTCTCTATTTTCCATATACTATACTAAAAATAGAAATTAATATAGCAAATAAATGTTCAAATACTTAAAAAACCATCAAGTTAAAGCAAGAATTAATAAAATAATTATAAATTGTTTATAAATTTAAAATGACAACATTGCATGTTAGATTATAGAAGCATCAAAGCTGCAACCAGATATAGATTTGTAAGAGTAAAGAACTGATAGATTTTCATTTAATGGGGTTTTTTTATTATATATTATAATAAGTTTCCATCATTTAAATTAAACTCTGGGAGCAGGCATTGTGAAGCAGCAGTTTAAAACTCTGCTTGGGATGTCCACATTCCATGTTGGAGTGCTTGGAATTGAGTTCCAACTCTGCTTCCCATCCAGCTTCCTGTTGATGCACCTAGGAGGCAACAGATGATAGCCCAAGTACTAGGGTCCCTGTCACCCACATGGTAGACCTGAATGGAGTTCCTGGCTTTTGATTTCTGCCTGTCTCAGACCCAGCTGTTATGGACACTTGGGTAGTAAACCCACTGATGGGTTTCTTTCTCTCTTTCTCTTTTTCTCTCTCTCTTCTCCTGCCTCTTAAGTAATAATAATAATAATAATGACTATATTATTTTTATACTGGATTTTTACACATACATGTAAATAAAAGTTGGCTTGTGTTCTCAGTTCAAATGTGTCTACTTTTTAAAAATTTTCCACTTAATGTTTTCAGCCATCCTATTGTCTCTGTAATAAATATACCCCTTAATAAATTATAGTGCATATTCTTAATTAGATTTTATTTCCAAGAGAAAAATTGCCTTTTTCCTGTAAAAGAACTGTGGATAGTTGCTATAGTCAATCCTGGTTCCGAAAGAGAAAAATCTATTTGGTCCTTATTTCTGTAGAAATTCTCACTGAATTGTGTGCATTTATAGAATGATAAATTTGTGTGATCAAAATAGTCTATGTAATGTTTAAACCTAATAACATCTTTTCCACTGCAGACGAGGGTCCAACGTATCTCTAACATTGGACATGAGTACCTTGGGGAATGTTGAACCTTTTGTGGCTATACCAACACCACGGGAGAAGGTAGCAATGGAGTACCTGCAGTCAGCCAGCCGAGTTCTCACAAGGTCACAGCTGAGGGACGTCGTAGCAAGTTCACATTTACTACAAAGTGAATTCATGGTAAGCCCACTATTTATTATATAATTTTTAGTGTTTTTATATACCAGGCACTAGAGCACATTTGGAAATTGCCCTGTGCTCAAGCAGCTTAGCAAATAGTTACTGTTCAAAAGATAAAGTACCAAGGCTGGCGCCATGGCTCACTTGGCTAAGCCTCCGCCTGCAGCGCCAGCATCCAATATGGGTGCTGGGTTCTAGTCCCGGTTGCTCCTCTTCCAGTCCAGCTCTCTGCTGTGGCCCAGGAGGGCAGTGGAGGATGGCCCAGATGCTTGGGCCCCTGCACCCGCATGGGAGACCAGGAGAAAGTGCCTGGTTCCTGGCTTCGGATCAGCGCAGCTCCAGCAGTAGTGGCCATTTGGGGAGTGAACCAATGGAAGGAAGACCTTTCTCTCTGTCTCTCTCTCACTGTCTATAACTCTACCTGTCAAATAAAAAAAAATTTAAAAAGAAGATAAAGTACCAAGGCAGGCATTTAGCCTAGCAATTAAGATGCCCACATCCCACATTAAAATCTGGATTTCATTCCTGGATGTGACTCCTTACTCCAGCTTCCTTTTTATGCAGACCTTAAGAGGCAGTAATGATGGCTCAAATAATTGAGTTCCTGCCACCCATGTGGGACACTTGGCTTGTGTTCCTGACTTCCAGCTTTGGCCCAACCAAGCACTGTCCATTGTGGGTATTCGGGTACTGGATAAGCAGATGAGGTCTCTAAATAAAAAGAAATAGGTAAACTTTTTCAATAGATTGTAAATGCACTTTCTGTATCATTAACTGTTCATAAAAATTCAAATGACAATGTTATAGCCAAATTGAGACAAAATATGTAAAAGCTGGCAGTCACTGACGTGGCATGAAGGAACTAGACCGAGAAGGGGTGTTCCAGGATGGAGTAACCATGGTATCAGTTGGGGAATTAAATTGTCCCATTTAGCTAGAGCATTGAAATCAAAGTGGGAAGTGGCAAAGGTTGAGCTTTATCTATATAAAAGAAATTCAAATCTAAATACATATTTAGGAGTTTGGACTTTATGTCATGTTTTAGAAAGATTGCTCTATTTGCCATGGAGTAGTTCAGAGGCTCTAAAGAAAATCTTGTGGAACTGGGACAGTGGTCTACACCTAAAATAATGGCAGTAAAACTGGAGAGAATATGTAAGAAATGGGTTTAACTGGATACGATGGCCAAAAGTATTGGAGAAGGGACAATATCTGGTCTCTTAGCTTGAGTGACAGAGTACCTCCAGTGCCCTTTAATGAAATAAGGAACACAGGAGGAAGAGTAAGTATGCACTAAACAAAATAAGTTCAGTTCCAGACCTATCAGTGTTGCTGGTGATAGTTTAATGTGTGATGTATGTAGCTGTAATGTGTGATGTATGTAGCTGATTATTGCCCTACTGGAATATTTAGCTTATAGATCACTTTGCCTCTTAACTCAGTTCTACATCTTAGTCATATTGGTTAAGTATAATAAGTTAAGCATTCTAGACTGAGTTCAGATGTTTGCAGCCATCCTAGGTGAAAGATGTAACAATAGATTGGATCTACTATTGGCCCCATCATCTAAGTATCCAAAATAAAATATAAATATGGAGTCTTATTCATTTATTTATTTATTTTATTTGAAAGACAGAGAGACAAAGATCTCTCATCTGCTATTTCACTCCTTAAGTGCCCACAGTAGTTGGGGCAGGGCCAGATTGAAGCCAGGAGCCAGAAACTTAATCTGGGTCTTCCACATGGGAAGCAGGGACTCAAATACTGGAGCCATCACCTACTATTTCCCAGGGTGCCCAATAACAGGAAGCTAGAATCTAGAGCAGAACCAAGACTCAAACCCAGGCTCTCCAAGATGGGACACTGGCGTCTCAACGCCGCATCTTGACTGCTACACCAAATGCCTACCACAAACGTAGAGGTTTTTTTTTTTTTTTTTAATTGAACTTGGTAGTGTGTCTTCTTTTTATATGTGAAAAAAATGAGACATAGGGGGATGAAAGAACCAGTCAAAGCGAGGCAAAGGGCATACCCAGGACTCTTTTCTAAAACCGCAGATAGTTCTGTTCTCAACATAACCTATTTCCCCTAAAGGAAAGGTGAGGCCAATAAGGCCCACCCAGGAGAGAGATGATGCTGAAAGATGACAGATTGTCAGAGTGTATCAGAACCCAGGAGGGGAGGAGGAAGAAGAAGAGGAGGAATAAAGATAGTACCCATTTCATGGCTTTGCCAAACAGACTGACTTGTTTGAAATTATCAAATATGAACATATGTTTTCCATTGAATATTCAACAATTATGCTTATTTTGGTAACTTAGAACTGAGAAGTTTAAACAGTTAGACCAAATAGTAGGGATAAATATAAATATCTAAAATATATTACCTAGTATATGATCTCATAGAAGTTAAATGTATAATGGTGGATTTCAGAGGCCGGAGTAGGAAGAGGGAGGATGGCATGGGGGCAAGTTGATTAATAGCTACTAAGTTGTAGTTAGGTGGGAGTTCTGTTAGTTCTATTCCCAGTAGAATGACTACAGATATTGTTAAAGTTCTATATATTTCTCTACCAAGCAAACCACTAGAAGATAGGACTTTAAGTGTTTTCAACCATGAAGAAATGTTAAATGTTTGAAGGAATAAATATATTTACTCTGACCTCACTTTGCATACATGTATCAAAATAGCATAGTATCCCATAAATATACAGAATTGATGTCTGTTTAAAATTGTTTTTAAAAACAAAATGTATTACTTAGTGTTAATATTTTAAAGAGTAAAGTTTAAGGTCAGTGCCGCGGCTCACTAGGCTAATCCTCCGCCTGCGGCCCTGGCACCCCGGGTTCTAGTCCCGGTTGGGGCACCGGATTCTGTCCCAGTTGCTCCTCTTCCAGTCCAGCTCTCTGCTGTGGCCCCAGGAGTGCAGTGGAGGATGGCCCAGGTCCTTGGGCCCTGCAACCGCATGGGAGTGCAGGAGGAATCACCTGGCTCCTGGCTTCAGATCGGCACAGCGCGCCAGCTGCAACACGCCAGCTGTGGCGGCCACTTGGGGGGGTGAACCAACGGAAAAAGGAAGACCTTTCTCTCTATCTCTCTCTCTCTCACTGTCTAACTCTGCCTGTCAATTAAAAAAAAAAAAAGTTTAAGTGATTATGCTTAAAAAGTATACTGTTCTTCTCTGTCGAAATTTTCTCAAATTTCCAGATAGATTGAAAAGACAATCTAAATTAATTTTTAATTGATTTCTTTCATTTCAATGAATGATGAGTTTTATTTTCCATTGTTGAAAATTTAAGCAATATAACTATTACTTTAGGTGATCTAAGGATGTAATATATATATCACTTAATAAATAGCATGAAAGATATTTTATTTCACATTAACCTTACCTAGGCAATTCTTTTTTCTTTTTTCTTTTTTTTCTTTTTGACAAGCAGAGTGGACAGTGAGAGAGAGACAGAGAGAAAGGTCTTCCTTTTTGCCATTGGTTCACCCTCCAATGGCCGCCGTGGCCAGCACACTGCGACCAGCGCACTGTGCTAATCCGAAGCCAGGAGACCAGCTTCTCCTGGTCTCCCATGCAGGTGCAGGGCCCAAGCACTTGGGCCATCCTCCACTGCACTCCCTGGCCACAGCAGAGAGCTGGACTGGAAGAGGGGCAACCAGGACAGAATCTGGCACCCCAACCGGGACTAGAACCCGTTGTGCCGGCGCCGCAGGCGGAGGATTAGCCTATTGAACCGCGGCACTGGCCACCTGAGCGATTCTTTGCAGAATATTTTTTTTAATATTTGTTTATTTATTTATTTATTTGAAGAGCAACAGAGAGGCAGATTAGAGAGAGAGAGAGAGAGGTCTTCCATCCTCTGGTTCACTCCCTAGATGGCCGCATGGCCAAAGCTGAGCCGATCCAAAGCCAGGAGCCAGGAGCTTCTTATGGGTCTCCCACGAGAGTGCAGGGGCCCACAGACTTGGCCCATCTTCTACTGCTTTTCCAGGCCATATTAGAGAGCTGGATCAGAAGTGCAGTAGCTGGGACTCGAACCGGTGCCCATATGGATACGGCACTGCGGGCAGCAGCTTTACCTGCTATGCTACCCATCCGATCCCTGAAGAATCTTAAGTTAAAGAAAAACAATTTTGTATAATCAAGTTTTTGAAAATGTCGGCTTGTTGCTTCAGCTATGGATTCTTTTTAGGTCTAATGCTTTTACAGTGAGCTACTCCTGTCCTAATTGTTCCCTCCTCCAATCACTTGAGGCCTGTAAAATATATTCTGCCCAAGTAAGAATATTCTTGTTAAATGAGAGGAAAAAGTGTCTGAATGTCCTTCACCCAAAAAAAAAAACCAAGTTGCATTTACAATCACAAATGGAACATCCCAACTATAAACTCTTCCTTAATGTAAAAAAAAAAAAAAAAAAAAACTCACATCCTCATAAAGTCAATGAACAAGAAGCTCTTTATAGCTACCACTTTCAAAGGGAAGTTTCAGTTATCTAAAAGAGAAACAATTACAAGAGAATACACCATAGTGAAATTTTGGGTACTGAACTTGCATAAAGATATGAAGAAATTTATATATAATTCTAGATAAATCCCCTTCAGCTACCTGTCTGTCTGTATAATTCCAGTAATTATGTCAAAACAGTATTCTTAAAAATCTAAGCCAATTGTTACATTTCTCTTTCCTGAGTACACATGCAGTAACACTCTCTAACATAGGGAGCTGTTTCTTGGAAGTCAGCTTGTCAGGTGCAGCTGCCGTGTTTATGAAAGGAAGGGTGTGGGTCAGCCAGAGGTTGTTGTTTTATAAATGACTTTGAAGTCCAGCAGAGCGTAGATCAGATGGCCCCCTGTGAAGGTTTTCTTTGTGTCAGCCTTAGATACACTAATTTGACACCATTTATTTTTATAGGAAATACCAATGAATTTTGTGGATCCCAAAGAAATTGACATTCCTCGTCATGGAACTAAAAATCGCTATAAGACCATCTTGCCAAGTAAGTTTTTTGATTTAATAATTTGCATTATAAAACATAAGACAGGCCTTCCCCAATCACCCTTAACTCACTGTTTCCAATCTGTACAATACCCACATGTACACCAGTTCAGTAATTAGAAACATATATCAAGACTAATAATCACAGAAGTTATGAAAATGGTCAGCTCACAATTCCAGTAGATTCCTAGTTCTTGTGACACACATTATAGTCAACTGATTTTCATTGAGAGTATCTAAAAATTTAATGAGAAAAGGAAAGTTTTTTCAACAAATGGTGCTGGGACAACTGGATATCCTCATGTAAAAAAAAAAAAAAAAGTAAGTGCTTCACACTAACATGAAAATCAGCTCAAAATGTATCACAGTCCTACAGGTCCAAGACAAAACTGAAAACTCTTACCGGAAAAAGGGGTGAATCTTCATGATTTTGAATTACTCAATGTCTTCTAAGATATGACACCAAAAGTAGAGCAACCATAAAAATAAATTGAATATCATCAAAATTTAAAAGTTTTGTACCTCAAATGATACCATCGAAAAAGAACTCACAGAATGAGATAAATCTGCAATTATATATCAAACAAGAGGCTCATATCTAGAATATATAAAGAACTCATACATCTCTAGGACTCAAATAAATATTTCTCTATTCAACATCATTAGCAATCAGAGGAATAAAAACCACAATGAGGTATTGCCTCAGACCACGCCAGGATGACTATAATTTAAAAGATGGTCAATAAAAAATATTGATGAAGATATCAAAAAATTGGGAACCTTCATACATTGCTGATAAGACTTTAAAATGGTACAGCTACTTATAAAAAATGTTGCAGTTCCTCAAAACCTAGAGCTATGGTGTGAGTGGAACATTCCACTCCTACGTATAGAATGAAACATGTTTCCACACAAAAGCTGTATACAAAATGTCCACAGAAGCATTATGCGTTGTAGCCAAAAAGCTGAAACGACACAAATATTCATTGACTAGATGAACATAGATAAATGAAGTGGAATTTATCCACATAATTGGCTGAATGAAAAGCCATGTGATACTGATACATACTACAAATGGAAGAACCTTGAAAACACTGTGGGAAGTGAAAGCAGCTAGTCATAAAGTATCTCCTATGTTGTAGTTCCATTTATGTGAACCTCCAGATAGACACATCTGTAGAGACAGAAAGTACATCAGTAGCTATCTAGTACCGTGGTGGGGAGTGGGAGGCAGGCAATGAGGAGCCATGGGAATGGCAGGTAACTGCTAAAAGATTTTGAGTTTATCTGAAGGTTCATAAAAATGTTACAAAATTAATTATAGTGCTATTGCACAACTCTGTGGGAAGAAAAAAAAAATCTCTGTGAAGGCACATTAATTGAATGAGTTGTGTTGGATATGAAGATTTTCTCAATAAAGCTATTCCTAAAAAAGTTCACTCTGCATAACAACTAGAGTCCTTGTTAGGAACCCAGAGTCTGCTGCCCACCCATAGGCATTTTGTTCAAATAGATTTGCTGTTGACCCAGAAAACTACCTTTAGCATATACCTAGGAGATTCTGATGCAGAAGATGCCAGGACCACACTTTGAAGAACATTCCTGTAAACTATGCCAAAGCGAAACTTGATTCCAACAGATGTATCAGTGCCAAGCCACAAGCTGGGTATGAGACCCAATAAGAAGAAAGACACAGTCTGTAAGATCAAGGAGGTCATGTACCTAGAGCACACAAAAATACTTTGGAAAGCAGGTAATGTTTTCCATCACTAAACAAACAAATATAGTTTGGGTTTTAGTAAAATCTGAAACATCTCACAGCAATAATTTGGGGAAATAGAGCCATAAAAACTTTTAAAAATTAGTGATATTGAAATAATATTAATTCACTCACTGGAAAACAGGTTATCCATATGTATAGTAATAGCAATGCATTAAAATCAAAGATTTAAATAAGTGCTGTTAACAATGTCTTTGAGTTTCTCTTTCTGATATAATTGGAAACACATTGTCAAAGCCACTCCACTATTACACATTTTCACTAGTCTACATATCCAAGATATAGTCAGTGTTGAGAGATATCTGGCTACAAGGGATGGAAGTGCTCTGTGTTAGAATTCTCTCAAAAATTTCATCTAAAATACAAATCAAGCATAAATAATCAGGGTATATGCATTTATTACAATTATTGTATGTACCCAAGCCATATCAAATTTCAGAAGGATATGGGAATTATTATGGTTATTTCAAAGTCCTCAATTTCCTGCCCAGATGATATCAGACAACTGCTTTATAGTCCTCTGTCAGCATTTCCATTCCCAGAACAGGGTGGATCACTTGAACCAGGAACCTGCGCTGACAACTGATGTTGCAAATGATGGATTTTCTATTGAAAATATCTATAGCCTGAATACCCCACCCACCCATATTGCACAAAATATAATTTAAGAAATATTCCATGGACAAACCATTCTACTGGTCAAAAATTATCAGAGAAGACTGGAATAAATAGGCAAAACTATTGTTAATGGTTTATTTTAGACTGTAAAATGAGATAAACTTGAAATACTACATATAATGATGATTAGCAAATGAGTAATATTTTAAATATTATGATTTTTTAAAAATTTCTTAACCTATAATAAACCCCTCTAAGGTTTAAAGCTTGCCAACTTTTTCATCCAAGCAATAGTGAGGCTAAATAAATTTGAGGGTTTTTTTCAGCAGAAAAATGGATGGCCAAGAATTAATTAAATTATAGCCATTTCTCTGAGAACTATGTCAGTCTGGCGCAGAGCATTCTAAAAGGTATTTTAAAGTACCGAGATTAAGTCTATATCTAATATTTTGTAGTATAAACAAATATTAGCAATAAATATGTTCCCATCAAAAATCACAAGATCAATGGAAAAAACTGATTATTGAGCAATATGAAATTATTAGCACACATTCATATAAAATAATAATAAATTTTATGTATATTCTTACATATAGTGAATTTATTTATAAGATATAAAGAAATCTAGCCAAAGTTACTCTGGCCATTATTTCTTATATAAAAATGTAATGTCTAGTAATGTTTTCCACTTAAATTGTTTCCTCTTTTATTATTTTAAGAATTTACCACAAGGTAGATATGCAAATACATGAACCATTTATTAAAGCCACAAGTTATACAGCAAGAAATTGTAGTCAAACTTTATTTCCTACTCCAGCGAAAACATTTAGTTTACGGCTGCTTAATCCTGTGCGATCTTTTCTTTTCTTCTAAAAATGGTGATAATAATACTACCCACAATGTTGTTGGGAGAATTAAATGACAGCATGTACAAAATGATCACAAGGTTCCAACTACTAGTAAGCCCTCAGCTAGTGTTAGTTTTAGTTCCTTCCCTATCTAATTGAAGATGAATCCATCATCAACCCCAGAACAAATTCCAGAAAAGTGGAGCACCAATTGTATAGAAAAGAGTTCACAGGAGCCTGCAGTGCCAGCCTCCCATATGGGCACTGGCTGGAGTCTCAGCTGCTCCTCTTCCAATCCAGCTCCCTGCTAATATGCCTACAAAAGCAGTAGAGGATGACCCAAGTCCTTGGGCCCTGTACCCACATGGGAGACCCGGAAGAAACTCCTGGCTGCTAGCTTGCTCAGCTCCAGCCGTACCTCTAGTAACCCTTTCAAATAAATAAAAAATAATTAAAAAAAAAAAAAAAAGTTCACAGTTTCAAAAGCAGCTCTCTCAGAGCCCTGTTTTCTCTTATAATTTTCAGATGTTTTTAAAAAGTGAGTTTCGGCTGGCGCCACGGCTCACTAGGCTAATCCTCTGCCTGTGGCGCTGGTACCCCGGGTTCTAGGCCCGGTTGGGGCGCCGGATTCTGTCCCAGTTGCTCCTCTTCCAGTCCAGCTCTCTGCTGTGGCCCGGGAGTACAGTGGAGGATGGCCCAAGTCCTTGGGCCCTGCACCCGCATGGGAAACCAGGAGGAAGCACCTGGCTTCGGATTGACTCAGCGTGCCGGCCACGGCGGCCATTGGAGGGTGAACCAATGGAAGGAAGACCTTTCTCTCTGTCTCTCTCTCACTATCCACTCTACCTGTCTCAAAAAAAAAAAAAAAAAAAAAAAAAAGTGAGTTTCCATGTAACCACTATTCTCAATTGCCAAAACCAACTTTTTACATGAAGATGTTCTGACTCTCCAATACCATAGTCATTAGCCACATGTGGCAACTGAGCACTTGAAGGATCTCTAACTGAGGAATTAATTTTTTAATTTAGTTTCATTTTAATTTACTTAAATTTAATTAGCCACATGTGGATAGCGGCACCACGTTGAACAGTGCCGTCCAGGAGTCTTGTCTTCTTCCCACAATGAATTTAGAGTTGACTCTGGTCCCCTCGGTGGCGTGGCCAAGTCCCTGCCTTTCCGCTCATTTCCCACTTACCTCGGGAGAGTCGTTCTGTTCCTCTCATCCCAGGCTTCTCCAGCACTAGCAGTGACATGCTTCCCTCCATCTAATGGCTTCTCCTCTTGACTTCAAGCTTCAAATATTTATTTCTTCCTGGAAAGATGATCTTAAGCACAGAGCAGACTTTGACAGGAACTGATACGATGCCAATCAAACTGTCAGGAACCAGGTATCATTTTGTCTGTTGAATAAAATACTTGACGCTCGCCAGAAGGCATTTTAGGAAGACTATGCTGGGGAAGTTTCATGTGGTCTTTACACCAGGCCCATATATATGTTCAGAAGTGTTGTTAGGAAAAGAGAAAAAGCAAGGAGAGGAGTGGGAGAGGAGGAGGGAAAAGAGAAGCAAGAGGAAGAAGGGGGAAGGAGATAAAAGGGCAAAGCAGAAGGGGAGGGAAAATGCGCAGTGTTCAGTTATCATTTGTAATTGTTACTGATACTGACCAGATATATCATAAATGATATGCTAAAGATTTAATATATACCTCAGAAATGTGTGTTCAAAAATTATCACAGTGAATTTACCAAAATATAGA